CTACTCTCTCTCTCTCTCTCTCTCTCTCTCTCTCTCTCAAAAAACCAGCAAAGGAATATTTTGTTGTATTTGACTCTACAAAATCTCAAGAAATTCTTGCAAATATCCCCCGACTTTTTTCACGTAGTAAACAGAGACTCATACAAATATCAGCTGGTGTTTCAAAGATGGGAATCGGCCCCAGATCGTGTTGCGTCTGATTCCAATTCTGTAGGTCTAATTTAGACGATTTCCGAGATGGGATTACATTTAACAAATAAATAAAAAATTAGGAGAATCAAAGCAGTTTTTCATACACATTTCATTTATTTAAGTCCAAGTTCAACAAAGGTGCACTGATAGTTATGTCACACATTAAATGCAGCCAAACCAGCGGAGTTGTGAAGTCTACACCATTGCTGTCAACTCACTGACGGTTCTAGTCTTGATCGAACGTATGGTTGTTGATCCAAAACGCATTTTTATGGGAGCTATAGAAATATTTATTTCTGATTATTTCACAATTATTGTGACTTGTGTCACTCATTTCAATTATGCATGAGGTTTCTACAAGGTATCAACCTCAAACAATCCAGGAAAACGATCTTAAAACTCTGCCAAAAGATGAGTCCTGGACTTTGGTCCACGGCATGAATAAAGTACACCTCAATTATAGAAGTTAAAGTTCCAAAAAATGGTGTTAAACCAAATCGATCTATAGATATTTGATTTTTATTTTTTTATTTTATTTTTTCATATCAATACATCTTGAAATTCGGTTTTCTAATGTCTAAACAACATTATGTGGTAAATTTTGAGGTGCACTTTATTTATGCCGTACATTAATCATATTTAATACCAAAAATCGTCGTTATGAGTTTCCTTAATTCTTACAGCTGCGTGGCCTTCAAGCGATGTGAGACCTTATATGCACATATGCATGCCTGCTCACTCGCTTATGCATGTACATCCATATATATGCATTTATGCAACACAGGAAATAGAATGAAGGGAAAAAGATATAAACCCTACTCTCTAAAATTATAATTTTAAATGAACCTTTGGTTCCGATAAATATCTCATAGAACCTCCAACTTAAAAAAAAAAAGGTTAAACCCATCTTTACTTTTTTCATTATCCATATTATAGGATTTGCTTTTTTTATTTTTTCTGATAACTCCATCATAAAAATCGAGTTAGTGATGCCTTCTAATTTATTTGTGCGGTTTGCAAGGTGAGAAAGAGAAAAAAGTATTTTGGAAAGGTTGCTAGAGAGGGAGGAAGATGTACCTGGTGAGGAAGAGAAAGAAAGAAGAGAGCGTTTTTAGGATTTAGATAACACGGTGATTAAGAAAAAAAAAAGGGTAAATCTATAATTTAGTTGTACAGGATGTTTATGGGATTAAAGGGTTATTTAGAATTATAATTTTAGAGAGGGGGGTTTATGTCTTTTTCTTAATGGTTTATATTCTTCCACCTTGATTTAAAAATATTAACATATGTCTTGCTCTTGTAAGCACGTGAGATCATGCCCATATACATGCATTTATACAAAAGGAAACGGTTTTGGTAAGTCAGCCGACTCACCTATTACAGTGTAGTCCCTTGTCTATCTAACGTCCATCTCTATGATGGATGTCAAAAATATTACATCAACTAAAAGTTAAAATGGACGGTGAAGAAAGGAATTCAAAAAATTATATTTATATTTTGAAAAAGAAAAATTCTAAATTTAGATCATTGTCACTGTTGACATTATTGAACTCTAAAATTTTGGACAAAAAATACATATTTGAGATATTTTTTGTAAAGAGACTGTACAAGAATAGTGTGAAACCAAAGCATGCATCTCTTTTTATACGTACTTCAAAAGCAAACGAAGCGACAAAAGAAAGAGGAAAGGAAAAGAAAAAAGGGAAATTGTTTCATGTGGGCTGGACTGCATAGCTATATACGCGGTCCAAAAAATGTAAAGTAAGATGGATGCAAGTAGGTGTTCCATCTAAAAACAATATAAATTAATAGTTCAAATATTTTTTTACTAGAAATATTATTTTTTAATTTTTAAAATTTATTTACTTATTCATGTTCATGATCTCCATGATAGAAAATTACACGTCTTAAAAAAAAATCCATCTCAAAAATAGATGGGTGCGGTTTGTATGGAGCCTAGGCTCCAAAAAATCAAATTAGAGCCTACCTTCAAATAGTAATTTTTGTAATAGGCTTAAAATGTATTTTCATTTTTATTTACAAAGTTTAAAAAAAATAGTATAGACAGACAGAGATCTGTAGAACCTTGAAAATCTTGAAAATCGACCGTAAAAAAATGCATTACAAAACACACTATTTTCCAAAACTTGAAATCCATTTTTTTCTCATGTCCATGCATCTCAATGACCGATTTAATTTGAAGATAAAATTTTTGAAATAGGCTCCTATTTGATTGTTGAGAGCGTGGGGTCTGTATAAGCTTTTCCCAAAATAGAATTATGAATAGGCTTGGCTTGCCCATGCGATCGAAAGAAAAAATCGAAACTTCCATGTAAAGAGAAAGGAGGTTAGGTGTGAAAGGCGGTAGCCAGGAAGCGTGCACGGGTTTCCCCTTAATTAATGTCACAATCATAGAAACTGCCTTCTCTCTCTCTCTCTCTCTCTCTCTCTCCCTCTCTTTAAGGGAAAGCATAAGACTGGTTGGGCCCACATGTGTATTTGTCAAGGTACGCTTTCCACGTGGAGGACCGGTAGGCCCCCACCTTAAGTTAAGTGGGCATGAGGATTGATTTGTTATTTGGAAATATGTTTGTCATGCAGTGATACCTGTTTATAAGCCTGCAGTGGAATAACAGGTTCTTTAGCCATAGAGGTTTGCTGTGAACTAACTGTCCACACAGGACAACAATCCATGACACACTAAGAAGTGGGGATAGTTCTAGGATTGAAAAATTCGCAAATTGATTATCTTGATCTCGAAGTAAATAGATATGAAAACAACATACTCCAAGCCTTAAAAAAAATAATGCACCTCGTAACACATTATCCATTATTTTCATCTACAATTGATTATCTTGATCACGACATAAATAGTTATGAAAATAAGGAGTTAAAGTCTCAAAAAATAATGCATCTCATAACACATTGTTTATAATTTTCATCTGTTTAAACGATTTGTTTTATTTATGTTATTTTTGAAGCTTTAAATTTCATAATTAAAGTTGAAAATAGATTTAGAGGCTGTTATAGATATTTCCAGCACTAAAACTAAATCTTTTGGAAAAGTTAAGCCTTATTTTGATGGTTTAGAGTTGATGCCTAAACTGCTCTAGAGACAAAATCATACAATGCTCATTTTCACCAAAGTGGTAGGCCCAAATCTTCAAGTTGTTCCGCTAATAAGAGAAACCCACAAGAATGGGTAACTCTATTGGGCATGAAAGCTGAGATGAAGAAAGAGAATGGGTAACTATAACGATACCGATATTTTATATGAAATAAAAAGATATATACAATGAAACAATTTACCTTTGATACAAGGTAGTCACAATTAATCTTGACCATTGGATGTAAAATTAGTCGGTGGCATTTATTGCATTGACCAAGCTCAAAATTCAAAATATTTTTTTTCAAACTTTATGACACACGCAAACTATCAGATTTCATATCGGATCGGATGGTTATAAGCAATTGTGATCTCCTTGTGTCAAAGATAAGTGGCCTCATATTATACAATCCCACAAAATAGTGAAAATTATGGTTACTTTTCATTTGTACTTTCCAGGCATGCTCTCCAGACACTTTTGACACTACAATATTTAACCTAACACTATTTTTCCTTGTGAACACCCCTCAAGTAAAATAATTATTATTTTTGGACAAAAATACTCTCTTGTTGTTAATTTGTATTTCTAAAACATAATGTCCCATAGGTCTTTCTCTGACACAAAAATGGTATGGTAGATTTTTCATGCGAAAAACACAAAAAACCGCAACGGCTCTACGAGAATCGTTGATACTCATATACACTCCCAGCATGCAGATTAAAGCCAGTTCACTATCTTTTCTTGCATAAAAACAAAAATGGAAGTAGAGGCTCCTTCTAAATGTGGAATTGCTTAATCATCACTCTAATGTAATTTGACTTATTTTTTGTAAAGGGAAAAAGTTTACATAAGGTCGCAACCTTAAAATGTAGAAATAAAGATGCACCTAAAAAATTGATCGGAAAGTTTTGTTTTAATGTTGAAAAACCCTTTAATTGATTATCTCGGCATCAAGATGTATGAAAATGGAAAAAATAATAATTTAAGTCTTATAAATAATGTATCTTGCAACACATTATCTAGATCGTCTATTTTCATATGTTTATAGAGCTACTTGATTTTAACCATTTTTGGAGTTTCAAATTTTATAATTAAATATGAAAATAGATTTTTAGATAATTCTAAGAAATTTTTATACCAAAATTACATGTTATGATAAAATTTGGAGGCGCACCTTAATTGGATTGTTTAAGGTTGCAACTTTATATAAACCACACCCTTTGTATATGGCTAGCCATGCATACTTGTGCATCATATAAGTTTGTAGAAACTAGATATCCTAAACCCTATTTTTTGGGGTTAAGTACTAGAGAAAGTTATATCAATATCCCTCTAAATTGCCATTATTTTAGAACTTAACTAGAGAAATTTATACTAATATCCCTCTAAATTACCATTATTTTAGAAATCCATCTCAAAAGTTGGATTTTACATGCTTTTTTTCTCCCAAATTATCCTACTTTAGAACTTGAAGGTTTGAAGTTTAATCTCTTAATTCATTATTTTACTTTGGCCATTGAGGATTTGAAGTTATTCCAAGCATTAACTACGAACATTCAGGATCTAAAGAAAAATAATTAACAAATTCAACTCCCAACAAATGTCTCAAACACCAACTTTGGACCTTGGAGATTCTAAGTTGATGCTTGAAATGAGGTATTAGTGAGGTATTAGTGAGGTTTTTGAAAAAATGGGTTTTTTTCAATATCACGAATAAAGGAGTATTTTAGATAAATTCATTTTATTTTATGGGTACCTACAAATAGGATAAATATTTGGTAAGCTAAGGGGATTATGCATCGCCCATCTCCCACATTGAAATGTTCAAATTTTGTTGAGTACAATGATAAATTACTCCATAGTGTGAGCACCCTAATATAACCCTAAAAAATATAGTCCAATCGACCGTTAATTTTACATACACATGCATCTCATCTACTTACTTTAAATGGAAAAAAAAACTTATGCTAAAAAAAATGCATCTACCACTCTCAACTATCAAAATCACCCCCTCTCCTTCAATGTGGGAGATGTGCATTGGCATAATCTCCTCGGCTTACCAAATCTTTATCCTATTTGTACACGTACCCATAAAATAAAGGGAAATTATCTATTGGACTTCGGGTTATGTTAAGGTACTCGTAATTTATCTTTGTACTAATAATTTTTGGAAACTTCTATATCCTTGTTTTGTAGATGTATCAATTTTTTCAGGGTGCGGTTTGTATGGAGCCTAGGCTCTAAGCAACCAAAGTAGAGCCTACCTTCAAATGGTGTCAAAAAATATGGTTTCAATGCCGAAAATCTTTTTGATAGCCTTAAAATATGTTTTCATCTCTATTTATAAAGTTTAAACCTTAAAAAATAATGTAGTTCGAGAGATCTATGAAAACCTGAAAATCTTGAAATTTGACGGTCCAAAAGTGTATTACAAAATACACTAGTTTCAAAACTTGAAATCCATTTATTTATCATGTCCATGCATCTTGATATCGAGATGATGATTTTGAGGATATTTGAGCATCAAAGCAATATCTTCTAGTGAAATTTTTGAGGTAGGTTCGAATTTGATTGTTTAGAGTCTCGGCTCTTTATAAACTTTTCTCGTTTTTTAAGATTGACAACTCCTTGATTCGGATCACCCATTCTTGTAACTGTTATGGAGTAGATCGTTGGGGACCTCCCTAATTTGGGTCGACCATTTCTTACAACTATTATAGAGAATACTAATTTTTTTTGGATAGATCACTGAGGAAGGGGTTCTAAAAATAGAACTGCAGATGTCATGTAATGCCACCCTTCACCTTGATCACATGTGCCTAGTGTCCTTCCTTGAGAGTACTAAAATTAATATTTTACATATTAAATAGTTAAAATTTAAAATATTAAAAAGTAAATTGGGTGCAAACCTAACGATTAAGCAATCCTAATCACCCAGTTCCTTTCTAGACTAGCTCAATTCTTGACAAAACCCCTTAAAATCAGACCAATTTCTATTTCCCCATGAGAAACTAGATGGGTCCCCACCGATTCCAGATAAAGATAACCGAATCAGGATGCAGATCCTAGAAATAATAAAAGCCACTTCACTCCTAGGCTTAGACAAAAAGAGGAATTGGTCCGATTATAAAAAAAGGGAGGGTGGTCTGTCTCTAGCATGTCTAAAAGTAGGATCGCCACCTCAGGTAAAAAAAGAGGAGATTGTGGAAATGTCAAAAGGGAAGGTGGAGGTTACAACTCTCTCTCCACTAATTGTAAGAAGAGGGCCTTCCAAGAGTGATTTGTAGTCCTTCATAATCCATCCATCCATCCATGTGCTTTTTGGGAGCACCAAAAGCATGGCCAACTAACATTCACTCACTCCCAACCATCACCACTCCATGTTCCTAGTGTGATACTACTTATAAATTAGATTGAACAAATACACAGCAATCCTCTAAAGTAGTTTCTACTCTCTTCTTCTGTACTCAAAGAACTTGGCCATGGAGAAAATAAGCTTCTTTGGGCATGAAGGGCCATGCCAACACCTACTACTTGCCCTCATAGCACTTGCTATAGCCTTCATTGTCTTGAATCCCTTTCACTTGGGACCTTTAGGGGGCCACGACTTCAGACCAGTAAGGCACAATATAGCTCCTTATAGAGAAGTTATGGCGAATTGGCCAAAAGATAACCAGAGCCGCCTGCGGTTCGGGAAGAGAGAGTTTGTCAATGAGGTCTACGGCCCCGAGTCGATAGACTTTGACTTAGAGGGAAGGGGTCCTTACACTGGCTTGGCCGATGGCCGAGTTGTGAGGTGGATGGGGGATGGTCTAGGATGGGAGACCTTTGCACTCGTTACTCCCGGCTGGTAAGAATGAAGCAGGGTTTAAAATATGGACTCAGTCTTGGACTCGTAAGGAGTTATGAAGTTTTCTCGCTTGGCCTGCCAAGTTGGCGATTTTTTAAACACTGGAATGAAGAAATATAGACGTCCATTTTTGCCAGTGATATAGTTCCATTTAGTAAATATACAATTCACAGTTGTTTTGCATTAGTGGTAGGACTCAATAAACATAGACCGCCCTTATTTCTATTCTTATTGATTCCAATTTACAGATTCCTAAAAAGTATAGTACTGGGGCCACAATCCTTGAGTCTAGAATAAAAGGAAGAAAATTTTTTAAAAAAAGAAACTACTCTTTCCCATTAGTTCTTGAAGGCAATACGCATAGCTACTTACCACTGACTACCTTCTAATTAGATGTATACCTTAAAGAGTTTATGGGATAGAAAATGACTTTGGGAAGAACAAACTTGAAAATATATGGATTGCAACATCTTACATTTTACCTCGTGATATGTTACACTCATGGATGCAGCTGGATATGAAATAATGGCTGTATGATATTGATTTATTTTATTTTTTGAAAAATAGGTCTGAGAGCCTATGTGCTAATGGTATCCACTCAACCACATCAAAGCAATCAAAGCACGAGCACAGGTGTGGCCGGCCTCTCGGCCTGCGGTTCAACAGAAAGAGTGGAGACTTGTACATTGCAGATGCCTACCATGGCCTCATGATGGTGGGTCCGCAAGGGGGGATCGCTACCCCTTTGGCTACTCATGCAGAAGGAGAGCCAATCCTTTTTGCAAATGACTTAGACATCCATAGAAATGGGTCCATTTTCTTCACTGACACTAGCAGAAGATACAATAGATTGTAAGATTTATGAAACACTTCTAGCTTATTCTTTGGTTCACATAGAAATTCATAGGATCTCATGTAGTGGTCTTTGGTGTAGGAATCATTTCTTTATACTATTGGAAGGAGAGGATACAGGAAGACTACTCAGATATGATCCTTTAACTAAAATGACCTCAGTTGTTCTTAGAGGTTTGTCCTTTGCAAATGGAGTGCAGATATCTAAAGATCAAACATATCTCCTCTTCACTGAGACCACAAATTGCAGGTAATATATACATACTCTCATGTTCAAAGTTCCAGTATGCATCTAATTAAGATGAGGATCAATTATGAAATGCTTGAGAAAGGACTAAAATTGGGACTTTGGACTCAACTTGGCTACAATTATGTGACTAGAAAGAAAGAGGGTTACTTAAGTGATATAACGGAAAGTTTTAAAACATGGAACAGTTCCCATAACTTGGATTTTGGAGTCATCTTGGTTCTATTATGCATTTTCTGTATGAGCTAGTTGAGGATTTTGATGGGCAGTAGAAAGAAAAGGACTAGTTCAGGAAATAAGTAGAGAAAGAGACACTACTTACACAAGTTAATCTAGATAAGGAGCATTTCAAACAAATTCCTCTTTACAGAGGTTGATTTCATTTTTCTAAAATGCAAAATCTTTAAAAAAGAATCATGAAAACCAATCAGGAGGGGTTATTTAAGGAAGAACTGTTTCCAAGTAGAGCTTTTTCCAGTCAAGAATGCAATCAGATTTACCTCTTACAGTTTGGGTATGGCATTTTCAACTCATTGTTAAAAAAAAAATCCCTTCAAAAAGGGAAGCTTCTTGGGATTTGGGCTTCCATTGATCCTTAATTAAATTATTTTTTGTGTTAGGATAATGAGATATTGGCTGGAGGGACCAAAAGCTGGAAGCATGGAGCTGTTTGCAGATTTGCCTGGTTTCCCGGACAATGTGAGACTGAATGATAAGGGCCAATTTTGGGTTGCAATTGACTGTTGTCGAACACCTGTCCAGGAGATACTCTCTCACAATCCATGGATTAGAAACATATATTTCAGGTTGCCCCTAAAGATGAGCATTTTAGCTAGGAAAATGGGAATGAAGATGTACACAGTCATAGCCCTCTTCAATGAGGATAGAGAGATTGTAGAAGTCTTAGAAGATAGAAGAGGTGATGTAGCAAAACTAGTCAGTGAGGTTAAAGAGGTGAATGGGAGACTTTGGATAGGAACTGTGGCCCACAATCAAATCACTACTCTCTCCTTTCCTTGATTTGTAAGAATAGAAGGCCTTTGTAGAGCCTAAATTCATGAATTCATCCTCCTATTTAATGAAACATAATTTTGGCAAGAAGATCCCTTCAAGATTAGGTAGATATTAAGGGCTGCAAAACTTGTGTCTGTACCTTGGGTCTTAATTTATCCACCATCCCATTAGAATTGCTCTTTCTGAAAGGCTAAACATGTGTTATAATCTCCCTTGTTATATATGTTGTCAATGTATTGATGCTTGTGTTGATATCTTCATTTGTTTGGTAGATAAGCTGGGTTGTAATTTATAAGTACAAGTTTGTTGTAGCCAGTACCTTTCAAATGGACTATGTATAGGTATTTGAAATCTTCTTCTTCATCATCATCATTTTTATTTTTATTTTTGTCACGGGACAGAAAAGTTGGCATTCGACGTCAATTATACCATAAAGTTTTAATTCGATGCTATTTGACAGAGGGGATGCATGCCAACCAATTCTGTATTTCCAAACAAAGCATTGCCAGATGAATAATTCTCATTGGAATCCACCGTTGGAGCCATATGGGTCTCCATGTAACGGTCAATTATCTTCCCTAAATTAATGAAAGTATCATATACATGTTAGTTCCCCAATTTTGAACATGTTGAAAAGACAAGGGAGAAATAAGTAAAGCATCCTTGCAGTTACAAAAAAATATATAACTAGTGCTAGATCATCAAAATACGACAACTTTGGCCTGCTCCCATTATGGCCATTGCTTTTGAAAATGTCTGCTCTGCCCTCATGAACCATCTAGGAGAATCGATGGATCACTGCTGCTTGGGTTCACCAGGGATGGCATATGGATGGCCAATGCAAGAATCACTTGCTTGGGTGATCTTATTTTTCACGTTAGAATAAAGAATCTTTGCTACCTTTATTCTTCATCAGTGTCAAGCAAATGCTTGAATTGTGTTTGGCATATAACCAGCTCCTCTCAGGCCCATTTTGATTGCATCTAGCATTAAATAAATTCCTTTGAAACTGGGATGTGACATATCCAATGCTACAAATTCATGAATGGCACCATTCACCTCTATCAGGCTACAACCTGGGATCTTTTCAACCCCTTTGGTTTTCATCAATCTCCTTATGTAGGCTACATCATCCCACCTATCGTCTAATGCATACAAGTTGGCGAGAAGCATATATCTACCACTATGATGAGGTTGCAACTTGATGAGATGCTTTCCTATAATCTCACCTAGCTCAACATCCTTGTGTATCATACAAGCACTAAACAAGGCCCCCCATACACCAGCACTAGGTTCCATAGACATACTTTGAATCATACTCATTGCCTCTTTTAAAAGTCCTGCCCGTCCTAAAAGGTCAATCATACAACCATAGTGCTCTATTTTAGGGGCAATTCCATAAACTTGGGTCATTCTATTGAAATGGTTTTTTCCCTGTTCCACTAATCCTCCATGTGAACAAGCGCAAAGAACTCCAATGTAAGTAATGGAATTGGGTCGAATCCCCACCCTCTCCATCTTAGAGAAGAGACATAAAGCAACCTTAGCACTACCGTTCATTGCCAATCCTCCAATCATGGCCGTCCATGGATACACATCCTTATTACGCAATGAATTAAAAACATTGAATGCTTGAAATATGCACCCACACTTAGCATACATATCTATAAGTGCCGTTCCTAACCTCAAATTTAAGTCAATTTTGTTCCTTTCTATATATGCATGAATCCATCTACCTTGGTCCAAGGCACCCAATTGTGCACACCCAGTAAGCACACTTGCCAGTATTGCTTGATCAGGCCTTAACCCCTCCTTATGCATGTCTTGCAAAGAATCCAATGCTTCCTTAAACCTGCCACACTGTATATATCCAGTTATCATTGCACTCCAAGCAATAGAGTTTCCATAAGGCATCTTGTCGAAAACTAAACGAGCACTATCAATGTCTTGGCACTTGGCATACATATCAAGAAGTGCGCAACCCAAAATTGAGTCATAAATAACTTTCTTTGGCTCTATAAAGTGAGCATGGACACATCTCCCCAAACGCAAAGCCCCAACTAACCCAATTGCACAGAGAACACTAACCATGGTTATCTCATCTGGTTCAATACCAACCAATCTCATCTTAGCGAACAAATCTAGGCCCATAGTTGCCCGATTAGCCCGAACATAGCCATCAATCAGAGCTGTCCACGTGACCACGTCTCTTTGTGGGGTTTCATCAAACACGCGATATGCACAATCCAAAGCATCACATTTAGAATACATTGCAATAAGAGAATTACAAACAAATGTATCATGGACTAAGCCATTTTTTAGGACATGGGTATAAATCACATTCCCTTGTTTAGAGTTTACACAAGCTCTTAGGACGAAAGGGAACGTGTGCTTATCAGGAGACAAAGACTTTTGAAGCATTTTGGTGAAAATGAGGATTGCTTTTTGAGGGTTTTGGCTAATGGAGAATCCTCTGATCATGGTGTTCCATATAAAATTGGTTGGATTAGTTACTTGATTGAAGAGTGACAAAGCATATTCGAGGTTTTTTGGATCCGAAACTGCACAAAAATGGATGATTTTGCTCATGGCAAAGTTGCAGTGAGAGAGGCCCGTCGTGATCATGAGAGAATGAATTTGGTGTACTTGTTTGATGGTGGTGCACCTCTTTATGAGAAAAAGGCACTGGTGGCTCCAACCAGCGACCATTATACCTCTCTAAATTAACCGACATTTAAATTTTATGAGAGAAAAGGAGGGAGAAGAAGGTGCCTGCAATCCTGGTTTACTTCTCTCTCTATAAAATGGGACTTGTTCATTTTGGGAGCATTGAAGAGAGAAGCACGGGTGCCTGAGATTTGAAGCCATTTCTCTCTCTAACCTTTGGAAGACAGAAGAACCGGTGCCTGAAACCATAGTATAGTCCACTTCTTTCTCTAACTGGACTAACGAACTTCTGAAATTTTGGGTTCAACATTCAGGAAGAGTTTTGGATAGGAAAAATGACGATTTTCACTTTATTAGCTACTATGCCTGAAAATGCTTCAATCTACTATTAATGAGCTGATTTTGTACTATTTAATATTTGATTCTATGTCTAAGCTTGAGGGAATTAGGAAAGTCTTATGAGAAACGAGATAGGGACTTTATATGTGGTTTTTATGTATGAAAATAGTTTGATAGGGCTGCACTCCTATCAAAATAAGTAACGCCTCACCTTTAGCTTATAGAAAATTGTAATTCAAGTATTGAAAAATCTTTACGTCAATCAGCTTGGTTTTGAATTTTATAGTCATAAAAACAAAAAAAAATTTCAAACTCCAAAAATAATATATATTTTAAAAAAATATCTAAACTGTCCATTTCTCCCTAAAAATAAGTGTTCAAAGATCCTGTACCATTTTTTGAGTTTCATAGAGATTTTTGTTTTAGAAAGTGCTTTCTGGATGAGGATTTGAGTTGATGCCTTTTTTTTGTTTTCATAAAGCCTAAGCCTTATAGAAACTTCAATGTATGGCTTCTTCTGTTTTTTTTCATTTTATAATAGATTCATTCCGTTTGTAATACGGAGTAGGATTCTTACATATTTACATAGACTCCGGTACGACATAAATATATATGGTTCTTTAGAAATGGGAGGAAAAGACCGTGATTAATAGTTAATCATTTGGTTATAATTTGATAAATTTTTGAGAAATTAAAATGCAGTAGGTGTGCATTACCGTCTACAAAAATTTAGATTTCACTTGGTATTTAATTACTAATTAAAAGAAACACATTCTTTTACTATGCATTCCTTTACATTTGGCAAACTCAATGAATTTTTAGTAGAGTAAAACCATATTAACTTGGGTGTGATTTCCATAAAGACTTACAACCCTAAACCATTGAGCTCCATACTTTGTCAAATGATACAATTTTGGTGTCGAAAATTCTTAGAATAGCCAATGAATCTATTTTCATTTCAAACTATAAAATTTTAAATTTCAAAATAGTCCAAACCAAGCAAATCTTATAAACACATGAAAATATTGAAAATTGACGGTTCAGATAATGTATTGTAAGATTTACTATTTTATTAAACTTCAAATCTCTTTTTTTTTTTTTTTCTATATTCATATATCTCGATGTCAAAATGATCAATCAGATGGTTTTTCAAAGTCAAAACGCATTTTTTTTTATATATATTTTAGTTGCGCCTTAATTCTACAATATAGGGCATCAACCTTATATAAATTTGTTCCCCTAATGAGTTTGTCCGGTTCATCTTTAGATATGAAACAAAAGATCGAGGGTGTAGTTCATATAAGGCCGTAATTTTACTCATAAATAGTAAGGTCGTGTGTACTAAATTAGCTCAACGATGTAGATTAGATGTATTTTAATGCATTTATCTTAAAAACACATACCATTCAATTAAAATAGATAGAACATTACCACTTTTGCCTCCTTGTATAACCTTTTTTCAAACATTAATTATACTTTATGCCAACTTAGAGAGAGAGAGAGAATGATTATTTAAAAAGTTTTAGTAGGTCTATAGCATGTATCCTCCAAACCGCCAAGGCATTCCCTGTAGACAAGCAAATTAAGTCACCTGGTCCCCATGCTACCCTCTCTCTGACGGAACCATTAAATGCATTCACTCATTTTCTAAAACATGGAGTGATGAGAGAGAAAGGAGCCATTGATGAATCCATTTGTTCTCTACCATTTATTTTGCCAAGCCGTGTCCTTCTCAGTTCCCATCCTTGCAATTCAGGTGTCATGAAAACATGCCAATAAACCCCATGTGCTGTAACGTGCAGAGCTTTTGCTCTTTGAGTTCACAAAAAAATGCCTTGCCTGTTTCATAGAAAAAGCAAATTGCCTTCTCCACACAAGCTATTGAAATAAAACCAACATGTATGTATGTATGGGGAATTACATTATTGTCTGGCATACCTCAATTAGTTTGGATAAGATTCGAATCAGCGTTCAATAGCACAAATCGGTCATAGAAACTTGCCATGAGCTGAGTCAGGGTAACCCGATACCAGTTCGGATAACCGACCCTAAGTTGAGCAGGTATCGATTGGGCAAAAATAGTGTTAAAAAAATAAGGAAAACCAATAAATCCAAAAAAAATAGAAAATATATAGATTATGAAAATGAGGCTAAAAAACATATCTTAATGAGGCTAAAAAAGTAGCAAAAAATTTAGATTTTAAAGATTAATTTGTGACCAGGAATATATTAAAAAATAATCTAAAAAATACGAAAAAAAAATAAAAATGAGTATTCATGGCCAAAATACTTTTCAATCTTTTCCAAAATAATAGAACACATAAAAAACATGATGCAAATAGATTTCTTGTTTGTAAATTTTTTAAAACAATTCCTTTTTAGGATCCCTTAGTTAGACACCCAACTTGGGAATACTCAGGCTCGCCACATGTTACTCAGGCAAGTTTGAGCTGACTCACCAGCATTGGCTTGAATGATGATGATAATCTCTCTAACATATAAATGAAAATATCATTAAGATATCAAAATCCCTTGTAATTCACTAAGAGGATCAAAACATCCAATTAATCCTAATGACTTTATTTTTTTATTTTCTATTCACCAAGTACCTAATAAACCCATGTTACTCAAGCAAGTTTGAGCTGACTCACCAACATTGGCTTGAATGATGATGATAATCTCTCGACCATGTAAATGAAAATATCATTAAGATATCAAAATCCCTTATAATTCACTAAGAGGATCAAAACATCCAATTAATCCTAATGACTTATTTTTTATTTTCTATTCACCAAGTACCTAATAAAAAAATATCTTTCAAAATGCCCAAATGGCTTAAGAACCCTAAACAAGTGAGGCTATTTTAGTATTTTGGTTCACCTTAGATAAATAGGTATACTCGAGTCATAGGGCCTCTTGAGTAGGTCAAATCACTAGACTGACCCTTCTTGTTCGGGGTTTCCAAAAAGCAATTTAGATATTTTTGAAGATATTTCTTGAAGAAGTATTTAGGTGAGAAGACAATTAAAAATAAAACTTATGCATTTTAATTAGAATATTTTGACCCTCTTAACGAAAGTATTTTTTTTTAACTATTTTTTTGGGTGAACTATTTTATTTTAGGGCTTTTTTTTGGGTGAATAATTTTATAAGTAGTTACGATCCTTTAAATGATATTTCCCCCCTAGATAATTCAGAAGCAAAGTCAGTGAACACAAAAGATCTTAGGGCAGTTGTGATAGGGTCTATATTGTGCCGTTGCTACCGTAGATGAAGACATAAAATTTAACTCGATGGGAACTAATATATTGCTGGGGAGCCTTTTAGGAAGCTGAAATACAGTTGAGTATCCCATCTTTCTCGCTCTCTCTCTCTCAAGTCTCAGCTACATGGAAAAAGCTCTTCCGTATGAAAGAAAAAATTTCAACAGCCTAAAGAAAAAGTCCCAAAACTGGTTTTTTAAACTGGGTTAGGGGTATAATTACAGGCGGCTAAATCTAGCCCGAACTCAAAATTATTTACAGAAAAAATTAATGTAAGGCTGCAACTTTAATGTGGAAGTACGATTCTCATAATCTACTATCTTTATTTTATTATTTTATTAGGATGATGTAGCTTTAAGACTATCTAAAAAAAAAAGTGCCGCTTTTTTAGAGTACATCAAATCTTCAGCGTCTACTTCAAATAAATATTGCATAGCATCATAATATTATTTCTGCAAGTACGTTGGTCACCTTATACAAACCCCACCCTTTTCTGAAAATCACTCATCTATGGCAGCAAGGCAGTTTCATATAGATCAAGTAATGTGCTTGAGGCGCGATCTAAGATTGGTTTTGATTTCAGAAAATAGAGCGCTAGAGATTTCTGTATTTTTCTATCTCCTTTTAAAATTTGATTTTACGCATTTTTAATTTATTTTCCCCAATCTTAACACCAGACAATTGAGTGTGAGTCTAGTTTTGCACCTGGAGATAATAAGAACAGTTCAGCTGTCCACCCTTTGACAGACAAAATCCTACCCCAAGGAGATAATGAAAACGACTTAACTGGAAGTAGCACAGCGGCCTCTTTATGCTAAAGCTTCATCATCCCTAGAATAAAAATGTGAGCTCATCACTTGGAAATTCTCCATCTTTCTCTTTCAACTAATATCAAAATTATCTGCTACACAGTAATTTTCCTTGAATCCAAAGAAAAAGTCTCGCATACAAAAACAAAGACAAACAGCTTATCTCATCATATACACATATATCATACAAATTACTTAAAAAAAAAAGAGAACAGGTTTTTCTTTTTTCATTTTTCATTTTTCATCCTATGATCTACTAAACCCCATCCCGGACATGGTGATGTGAAAAGGGCTAAAATCCCACCCAAAACAATTCCTGAAAACCAAGAGAAAGGTCGCAAAAGGAAGGTGGCTGTTCCCACGAGAACAGAGCATATGGGCAAGGGATTAGTTAAAAATCACGATGAGAGAAAATTGAATTTGAAACAGGAAAAGAACTAGAAAAAGTAAAGCTTCTTTGATGAGAGAGAGAGGGTTAAAAAGTAGAAAAATAAACATTTCTTTGATGATGAGAGAGAGAGAGAGCGAGAGAGGTCATAAGCAGAGCTTAGAGAAGAGCATGGTGTTTGTCAAGGGAGAAGTGAGCTTGGTGTTCCTTGAGAGCTTAGGCATCTGGCTCTGCATCTCTCTGCAAGCCTTCTCCAGCTCCACCACCCTCCTCTTCATCCTATCAACACTTGCCTTGACCTCTTCCTTCTTTTGTGGTCGGTTCAGAGGTGAACAAGGAGAGGACTGTGTTTTTCTGTGTAATTGGGGGCTGGATTGGCGCGAGACGAGAGCTTGAATGGCCAAACGTGGGGGAAAATTGGGGTTGTGGGCGAGGTGCCTACAAGCTCCATGAGAGAGCTTCTCAAAATTCAGGGACTTGCAGAGCTTTGCACGGTCCTCTGATGATAGCCCCTGGTGAGCCTGCAGAGAGAGACAGAGAGAGTGTTAGAGTTCAGCCACATTTAGACAGAGAGAAGGAAATCCTAGATATATTAAGAAAGAGAGACAGAGAGAGAGTTGGAGTTCAGCCACATTTAGACATAGAGAAGGAGATCCAAGAGATATCGGGTCTTTCTTAGAGAGGAAGATTCAGATCAGTTATTAGAGTCTCAATCATTTGTGTGTGTAATGAGTGTTTGTGTCTGTGCGCGCATGTGTGTTGTAGAACGAGAGAGAGAGATCGGAATCAGCCATTCTAGCCGGAGCAAAGGAGATTGATAGAGAGATTCAGTGATTTAGAGAGGGTGGTTCCCGAATTGTTAGTGTCAGTTATTTGTCTGGGTAACGCAGAGAGAGAGAGAGAGATAGTGATCAGCCATTCTAGCAGGAGAAGGGCAATTGAAAGAGAGATTCGGTGATTTTTAGAGAGGGCGATTCCCTCAACTCTTAGAGAGTTTCAGTCATTTGTGTATCACAGAGAGAGAGAGAGAGAGAGAGAGAGAGTTGAGTTCATTTTGGAGATAGTCAGAGAAATTTGTCTCCACTTCCACAATTTGGAAACTTTTATTAGATTATTGGCCAAAAAGGTATAAAATCACAAAAGCAGTTCAAAGTTCAAACCACTAAGTAAAAGAAGATTGGGATTTGGCCCTTAACCTTCAACAAGACCTAAAGCAGAGAGGGCAAAAGAAAAAGAGTGGTCATGTCCATAGTAGAAGTCACTTTAAATGAAAGGAATAGAAAAGAAATAAAAAGGACAGAGGATTTAATATAGCTGAAAGCAGTCATTTCAAAGCAGGAAAAGAAAAAGGCAAAGGGTTGAGTTATTGAATATAGACCTCAACACCAGCACAGCCATGAATCTAAAAGCTAGAATAACCTTGTGTTCTCTCAAAAGATGAAAAATGGATTCTGCACTATTACACCCCCAAAATCTTTTGTTTGTATGTTTTGGTGAAAGTTTGCATGGTTATCTTTTTTAGCATTTATTCGTGTATAATATAATTTTACTAAGAAAAAAAAGTATAAAATGACTGTTTGCTTTTAATATAAGGTCACCATTACTCTTGTTTATTAGATTTCAAATCATGGGGTTGTGAGTTTGTCATTGATTAAATTTAAAGGTCAGAAAATATTTTTCAAACTTTATGACACACCCAATTCAACCAATTTGACATCCAAGGGCTAGTAGCAATTATGGCCTCCTTGTAACAAAGATCAATAGTCTCCTTGTAACAAAAATAAATAGTTTTACAGTGTATGGTCCATCTCACTAATGCCCATTTGCTAACATGTCACTATTTGTAGCAACTAATAAGTATCATATCACCCTGGCTGCATATTAATAGAGTTATTGGGGATAAGGTTTTGGCAAAGCCATGTCTTTAAGATTTGGTAAAGCCGCGTCTTAAAACATTATTGGAAAATGCAATTCCAGTGTTGCATGGAAATCTAATTTTTAGCTCCAAAAACAGAAGCCTAAAAACATACTCTCCCATTACCCCAAAAGCATGAACTTAGTTTGGTGCATTTTGAGAAACTCTTAACACAATTTATGAGACATTTCAGGTTTTGTTAGCTTTAAGTAAGGGACTTGTACTTTTCGGAAACAACCCCCTTGATTGGTATGCAAACTAAGGCTACGAGTCTCCCCCCTTTCTCACACTAAACTAGGCATATTATCTATTTCTCACTCTATTTTGTCCCATATTTTTCTGTCTTCCATCCCTCCCCATTGGTAAAGGAACACACAAACCTAGAGCCCCAAAAATCAAGGCACCATTTCACCATCAACCAGGCCCAACAAACATCGATATTCATTCCAAAAATATCACAACATTCCATACAATCACCAATCCTATCACACCGACCTTTCCATAGCAACTCCTTTGCTCCAAAAAATAATATATATATATATATATATATATATATATATATATAACTAACTAACTACGTACTTTACTTACTACTACAAATAAACTAAAATAAAGTAACAAACCAAACCAACCGAATACTAAGTTAAAGGTAAATTTAGTTTAGTCGGTAGGCGTAG